AAGACCTTGGTTTCCACAGCTGTAAGTGAGCTGTTGAGTCTGCTGCTGGGCATACATTATTCTGGGGTTAGCACGGTGTGGAACCAACAAGCATTGCAGAACCATGGCATCTCCCTGTAAGAGCAAAAGTACATGTTATGGCAGAGATCCATGATTTATCTTCCAACTTTAAAAAAAACTACTAAGGCCCTGTTCACACGGCGACTTTGCCGCGGGAGAGCCACGATTGGATGGCGGATTTTCCAGGCGCGATCACACCACAACATCTGGCAAGTGGAGCACACCCGTGGCCAGCCCGTGGCATGCCGCTGAAAATTACAATTAAAAAATACCTCCTCGAAGGTAGTAGCGAACAGTTTGCCACGGGTTGCCTCCAGACTCCCTTGGTGTGATCGCGCCGGCATGGCTTTTCCCTCCGTCTTAGTTGCCACGCACATGCCAAGGGCCGGAACCGTGGGTTGCCACCGACGCGTCTGATCGCGGCTGTGGCACAGCAAATAACCATCCCCCCCTGCGTTTTCCAGCCCATGTAACCAAGGCTATAAATGCATCAGTGAGGGTGGGGGGGCTGCCATTTTGTTCAGAACAATAGGAAGGGGGCTTTAAACCACCACTGCCCTCTGCCCCATTTTTTAAAATCAAAATTTGTTTTATTTACATTTTTGTCCTCCCTTTCCTCACGGCTCAAGGTGGCTTATAAAGCATCACTAAAACATTAAACTATAGTAAACCCCAAAATTCTTCTTTCATACTAATGAAGTCTAATAAATAATCCACCAAGCTATGGTTTGCCCAGTGTAGAAAAAAATAGGTGCCAGCTACCTCCTATAACTGCACTTGAATATTTTTTTCAAGTGAGGAGCTCAGTCACAGGTCATCGGCATGACTTGTGATTTGTATCTAAGTTTACCAGCCCTATATGGGGCAGAAAGCCCCATTGAATCCATTCAGACTTATTGCCAAGGAAATATGCATAGGATTGCACTGCACATTAACATAACAGAGTGCAGATACATTTTACACCTGTGGTGATGGCATGGCCTCCATTTTCAGTTTGTTACCATTTCCTTAGACTTCAAGCCGTTTCTTCACTCTCACTTAAATCCATGACATTGAAAGGATTTGTTCTTTGTAATAGTATCAAACCAAATGTCCAAATCTTTGCATTCAAAGAAGGAACTGCTATTAATCTGGGCTTCTCAGCCTCTGTCACAACAGACCCCTGTCTTAATTGCTCTTGAAAATTTGGAGCCTCTCTCAGTACAGCAGTTCCTAGTACAGAGTGGTATAAGGTCTGCAACTGCTAAGCAGGAAAACAGAGCTGTAAGGCTATTTAGAAGGGTTTGGATGTTGTTTGGAAATCTTGCTGGGGGAAGGATTTTTTTGACTCCTGTGTTGAGAAATGGACTAATTTATGGTTTTATATCTGCTTACACATGCAACACATGGACTGTGCATACACCTGTATACCATAGGCCTAGAGCAAGCTGTTTGCATCACCTACTGTGAGAGATTTCACATAGGGAACACTTGTCTGCATTTCATGTTTTTGTGTGTGTGTTACATTCAGCTCAAAGCCTTATGGGAAGAAGAAGCACATGTTAGCCATTGTGGGCAGAGGCAACAACCAAGAAGAAGAAATTCCCCCATTGCTGAGGAGACTAGAGGTCACATAGAACATGGGCCTGATCTGCATCTGAATTGCCATTTCCTGTTGATGGTGCCTTGTCTGCCTGTTCAAGACAAGATCCATCTACACATCAAGGAGGGCACAGGAAGCC